ATTAATTTTCAATAGAAAACACGATTGCTGATTTGAAATGCAAAAGTGCATTGAAATTGTTTTCCTTTATTAACTATTAATTTTGTTATTACAAAATCAATTTGTAACTTCTAAAATCGTACTATTTATTGTTTCTTTTTTGCAAAGAACATTCGTGCCATCGGCAGACAGAAACGTTCTTCCGTTTTTAATAGACGACGGCATATCGTTTACGTATAACAGAAAGAGGATGGGACTTAATATCGAGCCTTGCGGGACCTCATATTCAATTGGTAAAGATTTGGAAAGATAAGTAAATAATGGCCTTTCGTGCCAGTACGGTATTTCTACTCTTTGTGATAGATGTTTAAGGTACGAGGTTATCCAATCCAGAGCGATACTATGAATTCATAAGAAGGTCATTTTGATAGCAAGATGTTATGGTCGATAACGTCAAAAGCTTTCGAAAATAAAAAAAAATATTCAAATGGATGCTTCAGTTTGGTCCATCGATGAAGCAACATCTTTAAGAAAAGAAAAAATGGCACTCTCCGTAGATTTTAATTTTCTAAAATCGTGTTGCGAGTCTGAAAACGCTTTGTTTTTACTGAGAAAAGTTTCCAATCGCTTATAGAAAAGCCTCCCTAATATTTTTGAGAAACCTGACAAAAGAGAAATTGGCCGCTAATTTTCAATTTCATTTTTGTTCTTTTTTTCAAAAAGTGGCTTGAGTTTTGCTGTTTAGAAAATATCTGGAAATATTCCTGTGCATAAACAAGCATTGAAAATGTGAGTTAACAGATGTATAAAGGTAGATACTCAGGTTTTCAATAAACGATCCGGAAATGCATCTAAATCAGATGAATATTTATTTTTTTCTTTACTGACTGTAAAATTTCGAATTTGACGGTTTTAGTCCCTTCGTGAGTTCAGCCGCAATTCTAGAAAAGTGTTGGTTGAAGAGATTTGCCACTTTTTCTGGCTTCTCCTTCATTATCCTTTAAAACAACATTCTCTACTAAGGAACGAGATGATGTGGTCGTATTTTTTACGATATGCCACATTGCTTTAGTTTTGTTACTAGCGTTTAAAATATCATAATTATTTTTTATTATTTTTGCTTGAACTATTATTTTTCTTAAGTTTCTTTTGTATTCTCGGAAGTAGACATGGAAACCGGGTGATATGTTATGATGTTTAGAAATAAAGTAAAGCGTACTTTTGTTTTTAAACGATGTTCTTATATCTTATGTGATCCAAGTATTATTTTTCCGTGGAATATTCCTTTCTTTTTCAGAGGAAAGCATGCGTTAAAGTGAAATGAAAGTTTTGGGAAAAATATATTATATATTTCATTTGTGTCAACAGCGTTCGTATAAACTGTGACCCATGATTCCTTCAGCAGGTAGTCCGTAAATAATTTTAACTTTAGTGAATGCTATGCACATGCGTAAATAATGTGTAAGGAGAATGTACAATTTAAACAGGAGGAGATGCAACACTAAGAACATAATCACAGTTAACTGTAAGCGAGAGCAAGTTCCAAAGTGACGCGGAGACAATCTCTGCCACCGCCCAGCAGCCCTCGGTCATATTTCTAAATCGTAACCATGTATATCCTGCATCCCCAAATTTAAGCCTTCATGGGACAGAATCTTGGAGGCTTTCTAAGTAATTAGAAATGTGCTCACTAAAAGCCGCTACAACGACCGTGTGAGCTGAATGTAACAATAATGAACGCTTCTTTGAGTGATGTCTTGCCCCAACTCCCTCTTTCCTCAGCAGTATGTATATAATATTATTTGTGAAGAGAGTGGACGGGTAATGTTCAGAAGTATTAAATGATTGACTTAATGGAATACGAAACGATTTTCTGGGACCCTTAAAGAAATTTACAACGGGGAAATCTGAATAGAATACAAAAAAGAGCATGTGAATTTACTCTCCAGAGAAATAGAAATTAAGTAAAATGAAGTCATTAGCAATCGGGAGGGATAAAACAAGACTTTGTGCCATATATAAATCATATGCTGGTTATCCAGCACGGAAAGGTATATCTAGCCAACATGGTGCACCCATGAACGTCAACTAAGGGGGTTCATACTGTAACGTTTCTCCGTGGTGAATTAAAACCAACTCAATATGTAAACAAAACGTTTATTCGTGAACAATTATACACTAAAATCTACTTGGTCTATTTACAGATATATTACACTTAATTATTTTTCCTTTACACACGATTCCGTTCTCTTCTTACACACTATTTTATTTACACCGTTCTCTTCTTCTGCAGTATCACCCAGTCCGATGCTCTGTCCACGGTCCACTGCACTTGACCCAATTTTTTGCACAGACCACAATTCCCCTGCGCAGACCACAATTCCTTGCGCAGACCACACTTCACTGCGCACACCAGGGTCTACTGCACTGCTGTTTACCGCGATGCTCACTTCACAGCTCAGCTTTCACTGCAGACTTCAGACTGCTGACTGCCGTTCAACCGCTGCACCACTCTTCACCGCAATGCACATTTCACAGCACAGCTTCCACTTCGGACACACTGACGGACTGACTGCTTCTCTGCCACTCACTGACGCTTACTACCCACTGACTTCTACTCACGTCTTCTACTGACTCACTCGCGGCCGCCGGCAGCGGCGCATTTATACCTGCCCGGCGCTTGTCTCCAGGCACCCGGTACATTCTGGGCGTTACCCCGCGGCTCGCGGATAGTCCGGAACCGTCTAGTTCGGGGGGAAGGGAAGGGGCGCCGGCAGATGACGCAATCCAACAGATGAGCAGATAGGTTTCCAAAAGTTTTCTATCTATGTCTTTGAGGGAAGCCTTGACTCGTTCATATAATTTACAAGCTCTTTGCACTTTGAAAGATTCTTGTAGAATGCTTTCTGGTTCCTGTTGAAAAGAGTATTCTGTTGATTTCTCATAGTGCAATTCCTGTAGCGTCGAAGGCGTTTTGTTAACGCCAAAAACTTTTGTCGTAGGGTGTCAAGATGTTCTGTTATTGTTTATTATTAATATTACTATAATTATTCATAATTCAACTAATGTTAGTAGAGTAGGAGAAGGTATTCCGGGATTTCGGAAAACGTGCAGGTCTAATATATGAGGAGCGTTCATGCAAATAACATGTCCATCAAACCAGATTTTTCAGAAACAGCGTAAAACTGATTGTTGACAGGTTTTCGCCTTTTCAATGTTATATGCTGTACTGATTACCAGTATAGTTACAATAATCTACGTATACTGCTATCAAATCAGTTATTTATAATTATGAATGTGTTTCAGCTTAAAAGTTGGACATGTTTGCTTTTGCTTGGAAAATTGGGACATGTTCACTTTCGCATAAAATAGGGTTGCTTTTGCATAAAACAGGGCTACTATTATCATCATATTTGCTTGGGATCACATTTTACTGGGGTGTGTGCCAAGTATTTTATTTTTTCAAACAGACAAAACTACTACATCTGTTGTAAGAATAACGACAAATGATACTCAATCGTAATGGCGTTTCTTTAAAGAACTTTTAAATATATGCTTGAGTAAGAGACGAGCATAACACGTTCGTCACCGCGTGTCCGGCTTCCAGCGTACGTGTATCGAGCGGCCTGAAGTCGGGCCGTCGCGGTAGTTTTTGGCGCTCGCAAGGTGGGCTGAGGGGGGTCGCAGAATGGCGACCGAAACGCCGGCACCTTTGCCATGGACGCGGCGTCACCCGGACAGCCAATTAAATACTGACTCCGGCCTCGGAAGCCTACTCTCTCACACACATCTCCCTCTTTTGAGACTAAAGGTTGAGACGTTGTGGTGGTTTTGACAGACGTCCTGATCGAATTCGTTGACCTTCTACTGGTAGGTGTCGATCTTCTTGATCGGCTGATCTTGTCGCTGGTGTATCGTCAGGGGGTCCCTCGCATGCTCGCTCATGGGTGTTGGCGATCTCCGTGGCGAGCTTATCTCTTCGGTGGCTTCTGGCTTTATTGGGAACGTGGTGTGTCTGTTTCGTCGGACTCAGTTTGTGTCAGTTTGTATAATGTATGATCGAGGTTGTTCGGCCCTTTGTATCACTGTCCAGAATCTCTTAGCATCCTTGATGAAGACTTTGGTCTCAGAAATCAGTTCTGGAAGCTGTTTAACATCTGTTGACTAATTGTAATATTCCTGGACTCTTGCTCTGTGTCGATCTTCTTTTGCCGATAATACGTCCTGCTTTGCCAGCCTTGATTTCAAGTTGATTGGATCCACTGGTAAGAAGATCTTCAATCTTCGACTCATTGAAAGTTCTGCTGGTGAATATCCGTTCTCCAACGGAGTGTTACGACACGTTTACAGGCCTTTGTACGGTTCTTTATCCTTCTTGAATATATTCTTGACTATTTTAATCCCTGCTTCAGCGAGGCAGATTGTGGGTGTCCTGGACTTCTCGTAATCAATCAAAAGCCGTACGTTTCTTGAAAGTCCTTGAAAATCCGGGATCCTCGAAAGGGGTCCCGTTGTCGGTCAGAATCCCATCCGGGATACCTTTCCTCGAGAAGATTTCAGACATTTTTGCAATGATGGTCCATTGCGAAATTTTGACATTTCACGAGTTCGGGATACCGTGAATACCTGTCGATGATGATGAGGTACTACGCCTTGTTCACTTTAAATAGGTCCATACCAGCTTTCTGCCTAGGGCGACTAAGCTGTTCGATCTGGATCAGAGGTTCGTGTCGGTTGGTCCGATGTTGTGCGCAGACATCACAATTGTCTACATTCTCTCGAATTTGTTTTGACATTCTGAGCCTGATTTGCGTTTCGTGATACTTAACCAATCTTACACTATTACCCCCTTTATATGAAAATATTATGAAACTTTATTTATAAATACTGTTTGGGCTAGTGGCATTGTTAAAAAATAAACAAAAAAAATTTGTATTTCTGATAGCTTACAACTTCCGAGTGTTCAGAGGAAAGATTAATTTAAGTTACATGTAAGGATTTAAATATTCAGTTTGGTACTCTACAGAGTGTGCAATAAAATTTAATGATGTTATATAAATGGCATTGATTAAATAAAGTAGTACAATATTTCAATATACAAACAGATCTGTTCTACCAGAATAAGTTTTGTCCATACACAAATGCAAAAAGAAAATACATTATTAGTATTTTTTTCATGTTACACAGAATTCACAGGGAAAAAAAATTTTAAAAATTAGATTATATAAAAAATGTACATTTTACAATTATAAAACCACATTAGAGAACTCTGCAGTATCAGAGATGCTACAAGAGGATTTATTGAATTTCAGATATCATGCATCTTGTGAAACTATGTCATTCATTCCTTCATTTTCGAGTTACTTAGTTTTTTTTAACCACTCATACTAGCATATTTCTCAAACTTACCAAAACTGATATTTTAATATACATTTAACTTATATAACAACCATTTTGCATTTACATTAAGTACAAATTTCAAACCTTTACATATTAAATGAATAAAATATACAACTTCCAAAACAGCCACATTTTGTCACTTCATTTGTATACACACATTCTACAATATTTATTTATTTATTATTTTTACACATGCACATGCTTAATTATCAAATGCAATATAGCTTATTCATGTTAAATCAATTTGTACAAAAGTTTATAGCAATAAAATTACAGTCTACAACACACATCTAAAGTCCATCTATTAATTGATGTCCCAATAAACTGAAAATAAACTGTGGTAATTTATTTTCATTAAATACCTACATTTCCAAAGTGATATATCTCCCTGAAACAAGGGAAAATATTTGCATTCAGCCTTATAGTTCCAGATAGGATTAAAATGTTTTCAAATATTGTTTAATGTATGCAAAACAATTTTTTAACACATTTGACAGCATAATGCAGGTGAGTCTTAAAAATATTGATACATAAAACTAGCAAACAACAAAATGGAGATATGTCACTGTGGAAATAAGCTCTTCAAATGATATAAGAAAACGTAATGAATTCTTCATCAAATCATGAAATAATTCATCAGCCTGTGTCTGAAGGAACTTCTCTTGACTCAAAGGTCTCTTTTTTTCTAGTTTACTTACCAAAAAGAAATTACCCTTTTGAGGGCATCCAGAATATAAATTCGCTTTGCAAGGCAAAAGAATGAAGTCTGCTAGTTTATATCTAGTGACAATATGAAATACGGTTTGTTTTACCTGTAGTAGTAACAGAAGCATGGCGTTTATTTGAGCAATATAAAACTACTAAAAACTTTTGTATAACAAAAGATATTTAACATATCTTTCTTTTTTTCTCTAATATTCATTTCCCTGAAGACTATTGCTAACTACTGAAATATCAATCAGAGATCTCTCACACTTACAATGTGTCACAGGAACTCCTGCAGTTAATGAAGGCTATATTAAACAATTATTTATTGAGATATAGTTGAATAATTTATAAAGGCTACAAACAAACATGATAATTGTAATAAAATCAGGCAAGCCTTATTTCCTGAAATTTGATAATTCAAAAAAATTGTAGTCCCCTTCATATTTTCAATTATCTTTCATCTAAAGAATACATGTACCAAGGGCATTATTGATTTGACAAGATTGACATTGTTTCAAGAGCACCTTTACTTATCAATAAACAATAGCAAAACTATAATACTAGTAATTTTATCAATTAAGTTGCATCTCTTATCATTTTTGCATGCTGTAAAGAATGAAGGAGTATTGAGCTTAAGACACGAAATTGACTAGCAGAAAATGAATGCCAGAACTGACAGCAAACAACTAGAGCACAATCACAGATCACAAAATTTTACATTAATCAAATCTGTCTGAATGTACATGTCTGAAAGAAATGTATTTCCTGTTTTATATCTTCAACAGTGTCTTGAATAAATTGTTTATTTTTCTTTCTAAACTTATAATATAATTCACAAGTTATTGCAAACCACCTAATCAACAAAAGTAATGTTGTAAAATAGAGAGAATTCAAACAAATGTAAAAAAAATTGAAATAGTGTTATGAAAAATATTTACATTATAATATACATAGTGTAACAGATTGAAAATATGTACGCCAAATCTCATCATACTTGTCACATCAATGAATTTGTAATATAGTTTAAAGATACCATTCTGAAGAGCCCGTTATATATGTATTCTTGAACATGAGTATAATAATTTACAATAAAAATTATTTTAAATTGAAAAAGTTTTGGACAGATGTTCACTGCAATGCTCTCTTAAACACAAAGTGTTTTATTAACAAATATATACATACTCTCAATTTCTACATATTCAGCAGAGAGTAGACAGGAAAATGAACGGTCATGAACAATTTAGTCACGTTGACATTTTCCACATTTCAAAGGCATTCTACAAAAATGTAATCACTTTCTGCATTTATTACAATTACTTTTCCTTTACCTTCATACAAAAATACTATATGACATTGTGCAGTAAGAAGTATAAAGGGGCTTCTTAACAAAAATAGATGTGCCAATTTTTTGAACTACACAAACTCCTTCAATATGCATTTGTGCAGCTCATTGCCATTTAATGACATCACTTAAAATGTTATAGAATATTTCATACATTGGTTGCAAAGTTTTAGAACAGTAGTTACAACAGTCTTTGAAATGAAGCAAAATTGCTTATGAAAACTGCTTCTCAGAGGAACTCTACGCACTCCTTTCTTTAACTACAAATAGTTCAGACTAAGGGAACAATTGTAAGCTGCTTCTTCATTACTTGCTACTAATGTCACAGCATTCAAGGAATCTACTATTTCCGAATCTTCTGTGTCATGGAGAGAAGAATCAGTCTTGTTTACCTGTGAATCTCCACTTTTCAAGTTTTCAGCCTGGTACCCTGCATGTGGTGCCAGACCGATGATCTTTCTCACATTATCTGGTAGTTGAGCTGCCAATTTTAGTTTAAGAAAGATAGATTCAGCATTGCAGAGCGTAGCTTCTAGGTCAATCTTCATAGATAAATCATTCACATGCTGTAAGTAAACAATGTACAAAATGTTTACTATATAATGTATATTATAGCTAAAAAGCATTCGCTGTGAAAAAGTGAATCTGATTAAATCAGGGAACTTATTAACAAGTATGCGTATCATTTTCTAGAAAAGACATTATCTAAAAGTTTTCAAGTCAACGGCATCATTTGTGGCATATTGTGAATTTACTTAGCATTTCACACCAAAACAAGTTACAATACCAATTTAAGCACATTAGTTATTAATTAACACAATATAATGAATTAAATGAACTTCAATTACAGACAGGTAAAGAAATTGGTACATTGAAATTCAATTTATAATTTCTTTATTGGGATTTAGGGACCCTTTGACTATGGAGATCGTTGGGGGTCCTTGAATGATGATCTAATGAGAGGAGGAGGATGATGATGATGATGATGATGATGATGATTATGGAGCAACAGCAATGGAGAGGGTGGGAAACGGGAGAATCCTGAATCATTTAGAAAATTTCATCAAAAATATCTTCAAATATCACACATTTTCTGTAAAAGCTAAGTTGGTTTATTTTATTTTAGGGAATTCCTGAAGTATTATTGCATCTTAATTATAATGTGAGATGTTCTAATGCAGTCTATACAACTTAGATTTATTTAACATTATTATTTGAGTAATTCATGATGAAAATTGCTTTAAATCCATTGGTTTACCAAAGTCAAGAATTTTGGTCTGATTATCTAGTGAGGAAGAGGGTACTTGAGATGAATTAAGAATGCCATCGTTTTGGTGGATAACCATTTTCCATTAATTTCTTGAAGATTCTGTTCAGTGGAGCAAGTTGTAGAGCACACATCTGCAGAAAAATTGTTGGAATGCAATCTGGAGCAGTGGCAGAACTTTCATCTAGAATTTTTAGAGTTCAAACTGTTTCAATATCTGAGAACTAAAAGTTATCTAGGGGTGTGATATCTCCTTGCACCACATTCGGTAGATCATCCAGTTGTTCTGCATTGTAAACTTTCTTTCTCTCTCTCTTGCAAACAATAATAATAATGATAATAATAATAATAATAATAATAATAATAATAATAATAATAATAATAATAATAGTAGTAGTAGTAATTATCATTATCATCATAAACAACAACAACTTCAGGAATTAAACCAAACAGTTTGATCCGGTGTCATGTATTTTAATACTGGATTTAAAATTGATCACTCCAATGTTTCCTTTGGAGTCCCAATTACCTTTTTCCTTGAGGTCTGTAGTTGAGAAGTTGTTTTGGAAAACAGCAATTCTCCATTCTGTAAAGTTGTTCCAAAAAATTTGCTTAGTATCTTTCGATTTTATCAAGGATACTAGCGATATTTAGTTCCTGATGCATTGTGTGATTTCTTTTTCGATCTTGGAGAGTGTATCCTACCATGTCTGAGAACTTGAGAACTTTCATTTCAGCAACATCAATAAAGCTGACTTGATATTTTGTTAGAGTCCAGTTGTCAGATCCATAAAGGAGCATGGAGATAGCCATACTTTATAGGAGTTTTTTAGCCTGTTGTCTTAAGATTATGATTGATGGTCCCACATATTTGGTTGAATTTATTTAATATATACTGCATCATTATTCTGTATGAAATATTGAAAACTAGATAGTTGAAATTGCTAACTTGTTCTACAATAACGATGTCAAGTACTATTAGCTCTTAAAGGGTCTATTCCATTGATTGCCATAATCTTAGATCTTTCATAATTTGATATTGTCAATAGATTTGTCAATTATACTCTAACAAATATGGTTCAAAAAGTGAACAGCAAACTGAAGCTTATTTTCAGAATTAGATATAGTGATCTTGGTATCAGCAACAAGAAGGGTGTCTATTATGAAGTTGTGAAAAGTAATATGATCCTAAAGATTATTTTGACATTTTTCAATGTCATTGTCAATATATATGTTAAAAATTGTTGGCAGAAGTGGTAATTCCGTCATACTCCATAATTTATTTCTCCCAAATCAGTGATCTTTTTATCTATCATTTGCCATTTTAATAATAATTTTATTTTCGACATACATGCTCTGAATAGCTTTAATACTTTGATTAAATGCATTGAAACACTTTTTTCTTCTGTAACTTTCCGTATTAAGTTTCTCTTAACGTTACCAAGGGCTTTTCGAAATCAATAAAATCGATATATGGGGAAAGTTGATATTCTCTTCTCTTTTCAATATTCTGAGTTAATGAAAATGTATAGTCGTAACATGATCTCCCCTGCCTAAAATCATGTTGAGCTTCCATGAGCAGCATTTTGGATATAACTTTTAATCAGTTTCTGAGGATCGATGTGTATAGTTTGTAGCAGATGTTCAAAAGGCAATTTCCCCTGCCCCGTTTTTTCACCACTGGAATTATTTTTGTATCCTTCATTCCTCTGGGACATGACCTTTTGTCCAGAACACATTTTATAAGCATAATTATATGCCTTCACTTCCTGGGAAATTTTTATTTTTAGAATGTTGCGTGGCTATCCACAGTTCTTCTTTAGTTATGGGACCTACATATTCATTGATGTTTGCTAATAATATTTTTTTTGGGTTATCTTGTGTCTATTAGTTATTGCAGTATATTAACTATTCTAGTTCTATGATACAGAGTTTGAGATTATCTTTGTTTTGTTTAAATGTTTCAGTATTTTATATGATCCATGTCCTGTCTGCCATGTATTGTTATATACAATTGTTATTGTTATACACAATTGCTCCAGTTATTGATTTAATTTTCTACTCTTCTTGCTGTGGTACAGCATTGCTTATATTTCAATTTTGGTTGGCCAGTATTTATATTTAGATGTCATAACTATGTCTGCTTTTATAATAATTATTTTAGCAATGTCATCATTCCATATCCCTTGGTTAAGTTTATTATTCCTTTTTATTAGTGTTCCTAATGCTCAGTCTTCATTTATGTAGTTAGTTGTTAGTTTCATTTGGGCATTTTGGTTCAGTTGACAATAGCAGAGGGGCCTCATGTTCTCATCTTGGAGTAAATAGACTTTAAAAGTTACATCTGGAACTTGGATTGATCTTTGGATATTTTCTTTTCTCTGTTTAATGGAATGCCATTTAATTTCATCTGTAATAGCATAACGATTACAGGTTATTGCTTTGTCTGATAGGAGGGGGGTTCAGTATTGGAAACATAGTACTGAAAATCCATTGGTACATGAACTCAAGGATGTTTCGGTCAGTGACACAGTGCACATTGACACGGAATGAGGAGGAGAGGAGAGGAGAGGAGAGAGGGGAGAGGGGAGAGGAGAGGAGAGAGGGGAGACGAGAGGAAAGAGAGGGGAGACGAGAGGAAAGAGAGGGGAGACGAGAGGAGAGAGAGGGGAGAGGAGAGGAAAGAGAGGGG